ACGCTTCCTTCACGAGCTCAAGGCGCTTGTCCTCTGGCTCAGTGTGCATCAGGTACATAGCGATGACCATGTAGCGCTCCTGCGGGAGCTCCATAACGCGTCCGTCGAAATCATGCGCCAGGTAGCGGTCGGACAGGGTCAGCAGACCGATATAGTCGAACAGCAGGTCGCATTTGTAATCGATGCAGCGGCCCAATTCTTCAATTTGCTCTTTTGTATAGCAGGTGAGGAGCTCCTCGCGGTAGATTCCTTTTTGCACCAGCTCGGTAATGAGAGGGTAGAACGCACCATATGGCTCGTCAGGATAGGCTTTGTAGCGGCGGTTGTAAGCGGCCTTCTTGTATAGGGAGGTCAGCAGCGAGCGCGCTGCGGCGAACTTCCAGTTCGGCTCCTCCTTGGTGACCAGCTCAAGCGCCGACATTGTGAACGCGCTGCTGATTTCGTCGCCGGTGACTTCCTCGCGGCGCAGTTTGCTCTGCACGCCCCGGAGGAGGCGCTCCTTGTCCAGGGTTTCCAGCCCCTCCAGGATTCGGTCGGCATAAACGGAGAGACGGATTTCATCAAAAGCCAGCTGGCGGTTGTTCGGTTTGGTAACGAGCTGCGGCATGGTGCAGATCTCCTTTCAAAGTTTGTATATTTGGTATAACGGAAAGTAGGACGATGCTGTGAAGAGGGAGCTCTTGCTGTGCTTGCCCATACAAAAGGCATTTCCGAAGAACCTGAAGCACAGGTACGAAAATGCCGCTAGATCCCGTATGCCCTATTTACGAGCATGGAAAAAAATATCTATCACCCTATGTATAGATATCGACTGGCATCACGCACCTATTCCTCGTAGGCCTTTCGTGAGACAAAACAGGCAGGTCTCCTGACTCCCGAAAATGCGATATTCGGCGCCTTCCCGTCCGCGTGACGGACAGTGGCCTTAGCCGATATCGTGCCGAAAGCTCGGAGCTCTCGGCCTTCCGGTTACAGTGGCGGGACCGTGACGGATTCACACCGTGCTTCCCTATTATGAACGCCTGGCAAATTGAGCCGTGTTCACCTGTTTCCACTATATTTGGTTGCTTTCATACTAATTTAACCCAATATATTGTGTTTGTAAACATAGTTCCTCTTAAAAGACGAGCAATGAGAATTATACCAGATGGACCCCCGGGGCGCTACTGTGAACCATTGGAGATTAACCTCTAGAGGGGGCTGAAAAGGTAGAAATCGGGCGGAATTTGCAGGAAAAACGCGAATAAAAAATTTTGCAGGCTATCCTTTTGCGATTCCATAGGCGGTCGGGTACAATAAAATTAGGAATAAAGTTCGATCCGCTTGCAAAAGGATAAAGGAGGCGCATGACGATGGCAATTGCAGAGGTAACGGTCATTCCAATCGGAACGGCCACGACCAGCCTGAGCTCCTACGTGGCACAAATGCAGCAGGTGCTGGCGGAGCAGAAGGGGATCAGCTACGAGCTGACATCGATGAGCACGATCATTGAGGGAGCTCTTCCGGATGTATGGCAGGCGATAGCAGCCCTTCACGAAGCACCGTTCCTGGCCGGCGCGCAGCGCGTATCCACTTCGGTCAAAATCGACGACAGACGGGACAAAGCCTCATCCAGCGCCCAGAAGCTGCAATCGGTTCGCGACAAATTGAAATAAATTCCAACTGCAAATGAAGTATTGCATTTTGGAAAAGAAGTTGTATAATAGTTTTTGTTTGACGGAAAATTTCATTTTCCACGCTGGTGTAGCTCAGGGGTAGAGCAACGCACTCGTAATGCGTAGGTCGGGGGTTCAATTCCCTTCACCAGCATCTTTCATAAGCCTTACAGGACGCGGGTTTCCGGATTTCGGAGACCGCGTCTTTTTTGTTGATTTTGCTAAACTTCTAACATTTTTCTAACCTTTACTTGAGTAAAGTGGGTTCTTCGGTATTTATTCGGGTTCCAGTGATCGAATCGCCAATGTTTTTTAAAACCGATTCCTGGAGATTTGGGAGGACGTGTGAATAGGTGTCCAAGGTGACATTAATGGAACTATGCCCGAGTCGTTCCTGAACGATTTTAGGGTGGATTCCAGCCTTCAGCAGCAATGTCGCATGAGTATGTCTAAGATCGTGAAAGCGGATCTTAGGAAAGTCTGGATGTTCCTTTATAATGGTATCCAATATCCTGTAATAATGACGCATCAGATTACGGGGGCCGAGCGGGGTCCCGGCACTGGTTTGAATGACGAGCCCTGAATCGTTATACATCGGATTGGTTGCTCGTTCATGTTCCTGCTTTCTAAAGTGTGATTCCAGGAGTCTGACTGTATCCACAAATAATGCGATGGAACGCACGCTGCTGTCGTTTTTCGTATCATCAAAGTCATGTCCGACCTCGGCCAAGGTGTAGGCTTGGCGGACTGAAGCGGTTTTGTTTATCAAGTCCACGTCTACCCTTCTTAATGCCAGGATTTCACTCTGCCGCATGCCGGTCGATGCCGCTAGTTCGAATGCCATGTAATATTGATCTTTGGATGCGACGTCGAGGAATAATCTGAGCTGATCTTCATTCCAGACTTCAAACTTTTTTTTCTTGCCTTGGGGAAGATCAACAAACTGGGCTACATTCTGAGAAATCATTCCCCATATAACTGCTCGGTTCAGTGCATCCAAGATAAGGACATGTGTTTTTTTAATTGAGCCGACGGACAATTTGCCGTTCAGTTTTTTATGATACAAATCGTGCAAATGCTGGGGCTTTAATTTCGTGACCTGTATATTCCCCAGGTTGGGGATAATATGTGAATTAACCAACCACTCATAAGCTTTCCACGTTCCGTGTTTTACGGATGTTTTTTTGTCTTCCAGCCACGACTCCATAATTTCCCCAAATGTCTTTTTTGTAGGTTCAACAAAAGTTCCTTTAATATAATCGGATAGAACGTCCGGCAATGCTTTTTCCGCGTCTTTCTTCTTGTCATATCCAGATAGCCATTTTTGCTTTCTCTTGCCTGTAACTTCATCTCGTTCCAAGTCAATTACGATATAATATTTCTTTCCTTTTTTGGCTATATGACCTCTCATGATTTGTGCCTCCCTTTAGAAGTATTTCCGCATATAAACAGCTCGCTCAATATCCTTCATGTGAAGAACATACTGCTGACTTCGTCCATATTTGATATTTAAGACAGCGAAATTGATGCCGATCTTGCCGTCCTTATAAATTAGATCCTGAGCAAAAAGGCGCTTACTGTGGCTGTATTTAGGCAAATCCTCCTGATCCAAGCGATCAAAAGGGCCATCAACAGAGAATAGGAAATCTACCGCAGATTCTACGGCAGTTTCATCAGCTTCAATAACAAGTTGGGATGGCCCAGAGACATCAGATGTCGAATCATAATAGGCATAAATGTTGGTGCCATTAATAGGCTCGTCATTTGTAGGTTCATTCCAGGAGGCAGATTGAGCTGCTGCTGCAACTGCATCAAATTGGGCCTGAAGAATCCGGCGTTCAATTTGAGACAAACGGTTCTCGGCAAAACGAAGTGTCACATCGAAGTTGAAAGCTATGTATTCAATCGCCATTTGTCTATTGATGGGGATCGGCATGGTCCTGAGCATAAAAAATGGAATGGCCGCATAATAAACAAAGTTTTTTGCCTCGTTTTCTTGCGCCTCAGTAAATAACTCCGGCAATACCATTTGATTCCCGACATGCCGGAGCAAATGGCATAGTTCATGAAGAAAATCCATACGTTGCTCCTCAGGCGTCAGCCGGCTGTCAATAAACATGCTCCGAAGGCCTGTTCTCGATTCCACCGCCCGGCTTTTGGCCTCTGCGAAATGCACCCAAACGTTTAGCTTTGAAGATAGATCAGCTATATTGATTTGATATGGATTGCAAATGCCATTTTGAATGTACAATTCCTCCACAAATTTTTCTAAATCAGTCATTCGATATTGTTCAAACATGCTGAACTCCCCCTGTAACACGAATGTATGTTCGTCTTGTGGTTAAAAAGAAAAGCCATTGCTGGCTTTATGGTTATTCCCCTTGACGATCCCCTGGTTTACGATTCTTTTCCTTCTCTTGCAGGATCTTAAAGATCATCCTCATTTCCTCACGTCTTTCCGCAGGAGCTTTGAGGTAATCTTTAAAAAATATCCCGTTCTCAGGATCGTTAATAAAAGCTTCAAATTCAGCTAACTCATCAGCATCCAAACTCTGCTTTGGAGCAGGCGACGGATCGCTAGTTCTGCCAAGTAAATAGTCTCCGCTTGTTTCAAGGATGTCGGCAAGTCTCTTTAAGGTATCAGGATCTGGTTTTCGATCATTTGTTTCATAGCGAGAAAGTTGAACAATCGTTAACCCGGCTTTTTCTGCAAGTTCTTTCTGTACGAGTTTTTTTCTTTCTCTAAGGTATTTAATACGGTCTCCCAGGTTTTGCATAGGGCACTCCTCATTAACTAGGATACAGCAATATTACCATTACCAATATGGTAATAAAACATATTTGCCAAAAAGGTAATATATGATGTTGACATTACCGAAATGGCAATATATAATCTAAATCAAGAGTTACCGATTCGGTAATATGCGGAGGTGAGACATATGAAGCGAGTCAACTTGGAAAGGATCAAGAATCTCAGAAAAAAAGCCGGATTGTCCTTGGAATATATGGCGAAAACTTTGGGATATGAAAGCCCGAATGGTTACTATTATCTTGAAATTGGTCGAGGTAAATTTCCAGCAGAGGCGTTGGCAAAAGTAGCAGATGAATTTCAGGTGCCGATAGACAGCCTTTTTTTTGTCGAAAAAGTTGCCAAAACGGTAATGGAGACTAAGTCAACAAAAGAGGAGGTGATCTAACTTGGATCATCCAGTATTTTCAGAAACGGATGTCATAACGATTCCTGAATTGGCTAAGCGCTTAAAAATCGAAAAACAAAAGGCTTACGACATTGTAAGTGAACCTGGTTGCCCTCTGTACGATCTCGGAGGAGAAAGACAGAAACGTCTCATCTGGGGAGATTTTCTTAACTGGTTTCGCCAAAAATACAGAGTTGCATCAGGGGGGTGATATTGATGAGACGATTCCGATGGATGCGTGAATCCTCAAGGGCAGCCTGCATATCAGCAACGGTAACTCGAGTGATCCTTCGGAATTTAAGAATGGAAGTTGCGCTTGACCAGGCACTCCCGAATTATGCAATCAATCATGAGGCAATATCACAGCTAGAACATAAACGCCTTCTGAAAGATTCGAAAGTGGAATTAAAAAGGATAGAAGAAAGCCGCCGGAGCGGTACCAGCTGCCAGCGGCGAAGGGGATGACATGGGGAAGGTTTTGCTCACAACTAAATAATACATCACATCCTTGTCCGTCATCTCCTTATAAATCGGACAAAGGAGACGGAATAAACATGGCAATCGGACAAAACCAATTTGGACCAGCGCTTGACGAGGTACTGAAAAGAAATGGAGAAAGTCGAGGAGCTGCGGGGGCTGCCGCTCACGTAGATGCCTCCCTGATCGGAAAGATCGTTAAGGGAACCAGGAAGCCTTCAAAAGAGGTTATGGCATCAACCACCAAACATTATGACGACGGCCAGTTATACATTGCGGCAGCTGGGGAAGTGACGCATGGCGCGTTCGTCCCCTGGCTGAACAATGTGGATCTACATAAGTCAAGCGTCCACCTGAAGACGATCGAAGAGATCAGGGAGGCCTTGGATTCTCTGATGAAGGCACCTATCACCAAGACCAAAGATCAGCTGGACGAGGCAGACTTAAAACAGATCAAGCTCACAATGATGGAATGCGTAGAGGCAATAACTGCCCTGACACACTATGTAGCCGTCCTATGTAAGGAATATTGCTTTTCATGGATGGGTGCCTGGAAGGAACATCGTGCTTATCTGAAATCTAAAAAATATGTGAAGTGAGGGGATTTAAATGCAAATTGAAGATCAAGTCCGCTTTGTAGCAAAGCATGCGAAGCACAATCTAAAGCTGATCAAACGTACCCCTGAAATTTGTAATCCTGAAGATCTGGAAAAGAACATCAAGATCCTTGAAATGATGATCCGCCTACATAAGAACGACCAGAAGGCACAAAAAAACGCACGGCGTGCAGGCCGAGCGCTTCGTCTGAGATCCCAGCTAAGAAATCTCTTGTCGTCTATTCTAGCTTCTGAGAATCGAAAAGGCAAGGGGGAAACAGCGTGAACAGCACCACGAAAATGGCCCAGGCGTACTTTTCCATCTCACAGTCAATGAAGAGCAACACAGACGAAATCCTTCGAATCCTGGAAACTGAGGGGCCAGAAAGCCTAGCCTTCCAACGGCTTTGGGTAGAACGGGATAGTGTGTTCCTTTCCTGGTCAAACGCCGCGGCTGCTCTCCGGGAGATGCCGCTGGAAGAAGCACTGATGGTTCACCGGCAAGTCGAGAACATGCGTGCTCAAATCGGATAACGGACAGGCCTGTCGGCCCTGTCTTCCGGCGTCGGACAGTTTTCTAACCTTTCTCCTGTTCGGCGTCGGAAGATGCGGCTGACGCATCAACCAAATATGAAAGGAGGGCATATATGGAAATCATTCAGAAGCTGATGATTATCAGCAATCCACCAAGAATCTATGAAGTGGGTACCGAGCTCAATGGCCGGGATGTCATTGAAATTAAACAGGTCGGCTACGAATTTGAGGGCGGAATTCATTCCGAATTCCATGTTCTTGATGAAGAAGGCAGCTTGATCGCAAGCGTCGAGAACTGCCCGGTGATCGTGGAGTGGCAAACCATAGCCGAGCACGACGACAAAGAAAAT